CCCGTCTCCCCCGGCGCAGCAAGGCTCGGGTCTCCCCCGGCGCGGCGCGGCGTGGGTCTTCCCCCCCCGTGGCGCGGCTCCGGGTTGGACCCAAGCCCGGCAACCCCGGCCGGAGCGCGGCTCGATTCCTGGGGGCGGGGCTTGCAGTAAGCCCCGCCAGCAGGAATCGGGCCCCGCTCTTGCTAAAGCCGGCCTTGTCTGTGCTCACACTGTTTACCTATCTGGTTGGTAAATTATTCTCAAATCTCCCCAGGAAAGGGGGTGAAGGGGCTTGGGGGGATATTTTGGGGAAACAGAAACTCAAACTGGTCCTTTTCCTGAAACTTTGGCTAACTCACTTGGTGATGGCAGCAGTACTCATCCAAGGACAAGGAGGGATTTGTGCCTTGGGGAAGTTTTTAACCTAAGCTGGTAGAAATAATCTTAGGGGGTCTTTCATGTGGGTCCCCACATTTGTACCCCAGAGTTCAGAGTGGGGAGGGAACCCTGACACACCCTCACTCACTTTCAATGGGCTGGAGCAGAGGGTTGGAGTGTGGGAGGGGGTGAGGGCTCTAACTGCGGGTGTGGGCTCTGGGGTGGAGCCAGAAATTAGGGGTTCAGGGTGTGATGGGGGCTCCAGGATGGGGAAGGGAGTTGGGGTTTGGGAGAGGGTGAGGGCTCCCACTGGGCGTAAGGGCTCTGGGGTGTGCCTGTGGATGAGGGGTTTGGGGTGCAGGAAGAGGCTCTCGGCTGGAGGGTGGGGCCAAGAGATTTGGAATGTGGGAGGTGGCTGTGGGTTGAGGCAGGGGGTTCGTGTGTGGGAAGTGGTACGGGCTCTGGGCTGGGGGTGAGGGCTTTGCACTGGGGATGGGAATGAGGGGTTTGGGGTGCAAGAGTGGGCTCCAGGTTGGGAGGTGGGGCTGAGGGATTTGGAGTGTGGGAGGGGGCTGCAGGTTGAGGCAGGGGTTTGGGGTGCAGGAGGGGGCTCTGGGTTTGGAGGAGCTCAGGGCTGGGGCAGGGAGTTGGGGCTCAGGCTTGTGACACGGGCTTCCCTCAGGCGGCTTTCAGTCAGCAACACAGCAAGGCTAAGGCAGACTCCCTGCCTGTCCAGGCACCGCACTGCGCCGTGGAAGCGGCCAGCAGGTCTGGCTCCTAGGTACGGGGGGGAGGAGGACAGGAGGATCCACGTTGCATGCTCCTCTCGCCTACAGGCACAGCCTCCCCAACTCCCATTGGCCGCGGTTCCTGACCAATGAGAGTGCAGAGAGAATGCTCGGGGTGGGGGGCAGCGCACAGATCCCTGTGGCCCCCCGCCTAGGAGCCGAACCTGCTGGCTGCTTCCAGGGTGCAGCATAGTGCCAGAACATGTAGGGACTAGCCTGTCTTTGCGCTGCAGCACTGCCAACCAGACTTTTAATAGCCCGATAGGCAGTGCTGACTGGAACCGCCAGGGTCTCTTTTTGACAGGACGTTCCAGTCGAAAACTGAACATCGAGCAACATTATTGACAGAGAATCAACAAGGGGAGGAAATAGGGGTGGAGACACGGCACATCCCAGTCATGGAAATTCCTAGTGCCAGGCCTGGGCAGGAGGAAGAGCAGCCTGGGAGGGGTGAAATCCTCTCCTGTCCCTGGGGAGCTGCTCTGCCTGGGAGCAGAGTGGGTCAGGTCAGACAATGGATGGGGCATGTTCCCTGCACTGCTGGCCCCTCATGCAGTCTGGGGAGTGTTAACCATCCCTGCTCTCTCCTAACAGGTTCCTGCCTGGGGTTTCCCCATAGCGATGTGGTGGCAGCTCTGTGTGTGCAGCCTGGGGATCCTCCTCCTGGTGCCATGTTCTCTCTCTGGTAAAAATGTTTGAATCCCAACTATTTCTCTCCCTGTCCCCCATGTACGCTGCCCCCTGCAGGGCTGGGGTAGGGGGATCTGAGGCACAACAACCCCGCTCCCCTCGCCCCTGGACTGCCTCAGTCCTGCAGAGTAAAGGGGTTGGGCCCAGGAGGCTGTGGGGTGGGGATGATGTTGGGGTGACTGGGGCATGTCCTAGCTCTGGGTGGCAGGATTGTCGGATCTTGCAGCAAGTCGCCCAGCTCCTGCTGCCCCTGAGAGAGGCTCCCAGAGCCCCCAACACTGATCCCTTCCTGTCCTGCCATGGGACCCAAAGGCACGGTGCTGCTAGACCTGCCCCACTGGGGACTTGGATTCTCATGACCTGCAAGGCTGAGATCTTCCCAGCTGCCTGAGGGATGGGGATGCCCAATTCTCATTAGGATGAAGGGGCGCTGCAGCATCACCAACCCCAAACCTTCAAACACCATGAGTCAGGCCTCAAAAATCAGGAAATTTGCTAAAAAAGCATCAGATTTAAACAATCAATCAATCAAACAAACAAACAAACAATAAACCTTATGGTGTCTTCTTGTTTTCCTTGTTTTTTTGAGCCTTTGGTCACATTTTCAAACTTTTCTCTGCAACCACTAGAGCTAGAAACTGACTTTTTTTAAAAAGATAGTTGAGATTCTCACACAATCATATCTCCAGGAGATGGGGCTTATGAAAAATATATGATAGCCCAAGAGCTGGCAACTCCGGTATTAAAATCTCCTTGGTGGTTTGCAAATCTCACCCAAGTTATCCCTTCCTACCTGTAGCCACACAGTGAGTGTCAGGTGTTGCAGCTTGGCAGTAATTAAGTAACAGAGGACCATGGAGACCCTTCAGACACAGCTATGTTACAAACATAAATCAACTTCAAATGCTTAATTTCCTCCAGACACCGATCCCTAGAATGGTGACTGCCCATCTGAGCCAGTTTCTATTTTGGGTATTGAATCCATGAAAGGGACATGCATCAGCCCAAAAGTCCTCAAAGACCCAATACCCTCAGGCCAGGCAGAAGTTCCTCTGAGGTGGCCTCTCATCAGCTGTGGTGGGGCTACATGGATCTGAAACTCATTCATCAAAGAAGTTGCTTGCAGTGGAAAGAGCTTGTAACTGGTTGCCATGGGGCTATGCGGGGCTCTTTGAATTGGTAGGTGTCTTTCAGCTGGGGCCACCCCTTGTCAAAAGAGTGTAAGTAGGTTGCAAGACAGACACCTTTGGAGGAGTTTACAGGGGATTGCAGGACAACATTGGAGGACTAGCTTGTGTCAGCTGTGATATGGCTGCACCGCCCTGTGTCCACACTGAGAGTAACTTAAGCTACATATGATTCAACCTCAGGAACCTTCTGCTATGAGCAATGCATGACTGAGGAAATTTTGTTTAGCTCAGCAATCCCTCCCCTCTTTCCTCTCACTCAATCTGCTCCTGGGGTTCTCTTTTACAGAGGAATTCTCTCTGGATGACTTTCCGCACCCCGTGGTGGGGGTAATCGGCCAGGATGTGGTGTTACCCTGCCAGCTCACACCCCCGGCCAGGATGCCCAGCATGGATGTGCAGTGGAGGAAAATTGGACCAGGATTTATCCTGGTTCATGAGTACATGGATAAGGGTACCCGGGACCTGTCAGGGGTGAATTACCAGAACCGTACAGAGCTGTTCCTGCAGGAATTCAGCAGCGGGAATGTCTCCGTGAAGCTGAAACGGCTTCAAGTGATGGATGATGGGAAATACCGATGCTTTGTGAGGAACCCACAGTGGAGCCTAGAAGCCACCACTGAACTACGAGTTGCAGGTGAGATGCAGCACTAGGGGATGTAGAACGATGGAATGTCATTGCCTCAGTAACACTGGCCAGGCTGCTGGAGCTGTTCCAGCTGTTCAGTGCTTCTATTCTTGAAGCTCCAGTGTTATCAGTACTAACAGATAGTGCAGCCTGCTAATTCAGCAGACCTAAGTGTTACTTGTAAAGTCCACAGGCACTGTTCGGTGAGAAAGACACATGGCCAGGTGTGACATTCCCTAGGTGTTATCTGGACCAGTGACCTGCTAGGTCACTCCAATCCTCAACTCTGGGAGCCAGCCTTACCCTGCTCTGCTGTGAGAACCCCCACTCCCAGGCTGTTCACGCACAGCCTGTAGCATGTAAGCTGCTCCCAGCTAGGTGAGTGAGCACTTTCAGCCAGCCACTGTTTGGATTGTGCAACCGAATGACACTAGCCAATATCTCCGTTCCGAGACACAACCCTAGAAATTTCCATCTTGCAGTGTCCAGTTATGCCCGCTGGATGCTGCAAGCTTATATGAGTTTGACAATTTAACAAACAAATTGATATGTACCAGGCTTATTATCCCAAAGGGAGTCTCTGACATACTGCAAACCAAACACACTGCTTCAGGTAGACTAAACAAACAAATGTATTAACTACAAATGATAGATTTTAAGTGATTATAAGTCAAAGCACAAGTCAGATTTAGTCACATGAAATAAAAGCAAAATGCATTCTAAGCTGATTTTAACACTTTCAGTGCCCGTACAAACTTAGATGCTTCTCACCACGGGTTGATTGGTTGCTCTTCAGCCAGGCTCTCCTCTTTGATCAGCGCTTCAGTCGCTTGGTGGTGGTGTCTGTAGATGGAGGTGGAAGAGAGAGAGCATGGCAAATGTCTCTCCCTTTTATCATGTTCTTTCTTCCCTCTTGCTTTGTCCTCCCTTCAGAGTCAGGTGAGCATTACCTCATTGTAGTCCCAAACTGACCAAGGGAAGGGGCATGACTCACTCGAGAGTCCAACAGATCCTTTGTTGCTGCCTAGGCCAGTGTCCTTTCTTCCTGTGAGGCTGGGCTGGGTTTGTCCCATACATGCCCTGATGAGGTGTGAACAGCCTCTCTGCTCTTGGAGAGCTTTGCCTGGGCTTGTTTTAAGCCACGAGGATACATTTTAAGCCTCATAACTATATACATGAAATGACAACCTATAACATTACTGTAACAACAATGCTCAGTGCATCGTGAGCCTTCTGAAGACACCCGACATGACAAACTTTGCATTGGATACCACACAATCATATTATAAAGATGAACATGGCGGTGCAGGGTGTACTCCTGAGGTACAGAGCGTCACACCAGGTTTATTACCCTCAAGGCACCGTCCTAGTGCCCTGACTCTGTGGTTAAAGATATGCTAACACATGAGTGCCCAGTGGCAAGGAGTGGCTCAGTCAGCAGCGGGAGTCTCTGCTCCTCGGCCACACAAAGGATTAAAGTGAACCCCCAACATTTATAGACTGAAACAAACAAATGGGATAAACAACTTACATAGCACCTTACATGACATCTGTTTGTTACTTCCCCTTGTTCCTGATATTACAGACAGAACAACCCTATTCATTGTTCTGTTAAATCATTTTATCTTGAACCAGATTGGGGTGTATCTGTACTAGCCTTCTGGAATGTATTTACATAAATATGTAGTGCCTAGAATTTCTTGGGAGTGACTATGATATGGCAACACTAGCAGCAACTTTGCCAAGTTCATGTACTGGACAATGAACTTGGAAGCATCTCTTTTAAAACATGGCCTGTTTTTGGTTCATAGCTTCTGGTTCAGGCCTCAGATCTTGCAACAGGCCTAGTGCTCAAGGCTCTTTTTCTCTTCTAATATCAAGCCCTGGGTACCATCACAGGGAGCGCTTGTGTCTGGGCAGCCAGAGCCTCCTGTACCCCTCCTGGTGCCCCAATACTGAGCCCAGCATGGTATTAGGGTTGTGTGCTGCAGGGAGTGGTGTGCAGGACACAGTAGGGGGCACTTTCCCCTCGCATTCAGAGCTGACTCCAGTGGGGTGCTAGCAGGGTCAGTGCTGCATTAAACGACCTCTTTTCAATTAGATGTAAAGTTACAGTCCTCAGCTCTCATCCTTATTGCTGCGCTGTTTGAGGGAGCGGGACCTTTACCCTGATGTTCTGCCCAAATCCTAGCTAAGGATATAAGTACATTTGGCCTCCCTGAAACTCATCCTGCAGTTTCCATGGACTGGGATATTGTTCTTTTATTCCCTTGGTATTGACCATATTTTCAGTGCTGCACAAGGGTAGTGAAAGGCATGGTGGATATAACCTAACCCCAGTCAATTTAGTTCAGAAACATCAAGCTCCAGATGAGGGGCCCTTCTATAATAATGCAGAGCATTGAGGTTGTTTTAAATCATCTCCCAGTTTTGGTGGCTCCTAGTCCAAAGGCTCCACAGGAGACGTGTGCTTTTAGGGAGAGATTGAAATGAGGGGAGGGTGGTTGCATGCAACACAGGGAGAGGGAAATCCAAGCATGAAGAGTGGCTTGGCCTGGGGCACCATTACCAGTGTGTGAGAAGAACACCACAGGGGACAGTATTTAGGAGGGTGGTACAGGAGGAGTGGTAGCAGATATGTAGCTGGGGTCACCATCCCTCACTTCCTGCTCTGTCCTGAAGTGCAATGATCCTGACAGCTGCTGGGCTTCACCCAGTGGCTGCATTTCAGCAGCAGGTGCAGCAATATCTGTGAGCAGTTTAAGCCTGCACATTCTTCTGTGAGCCTGAAGGGCTAAGTGCTCTATGGAAATACAAGACAGTATTATTTAATTTCCCCATTCGTCAGGATGAGGGATCCCAGGGAGGCTTTGCACACAAGGGAATGGAGCTTTCCAGTCACAGACCCCTATACCCAGTGGTAGGTGGGGAATCACATGGTGCCAAAGACAGGATTTCCTGCTACATACACTCTTTGTCTCTCCCTGTAGCTGTGGCTCCAGTGTTGATTGACGTGCTGGGCCCCCGGGGCCAGGGGATCGGGCTGGCCTGTAGATCCACAGGCTGGTTTCCCAAACCTGAACTCCAGTGGGTTGGAAAGAACTGGCAGAACCTGGCGATGGAGATTGTGACCGACGTGACTCAGGACAGGGAGAACCTGTATAGTGTTGTGAGTCACGTCACTGTCACAGAAGGGGAGGACAATGGAGACATCATCTGCATAGTGCAGAATGGCCTGCTGGAGACCGAACGACAATCGGCCATTCACCTCTCAGGTGAGTTTCCTCCCCACCCCCGTGTAGAATGGGTTGTTGTTAGTACTGGCCTTGTGTTGTTAAGGCCGCTGCCAGTGTCGCGATTTTTGAAGCTCCATGGATGCTCTTGGAGCTGCATGTTAATTCAGCAGACTTTGATGTTATTCATAAGAAAGAGCACAGGCTCCGTTCGGGGATGAAGGTGCTCAGCCAGATTTATTGTTGACAAAGAATGGTACTAGTGACATTTGGTTGATAAAGGTAATGTGGTGAAGTAGTACACTCAGGGCCTGTCTACACTAGAAACATCACAGCAGCAACACTGTAGTGTAAACACTTATTACAGCACCAGACAGGGTTCTTACATAGCTGCGGTAAATCCACTTGTCCGAGAGGCGGTAGCTAGGTTGACAGAATAATTCTTCCATCGACCTAGTGGTGTCTACACCTGGGGTTAGGTCAGCTTAAATACATGGTAAAGGGGTGTGACATTTTTCACAGCTATGAGTGATGTAATTAACTCAACCTAACTCTGTAGTGTAGAACATGTCTCAGACTCTGTAAGCCGTTTGACTTACTCCTTGATGAAACTCTGATTAAAAAAAATTGCACTGTACAAAATCAATGTAGTCCACATTATATGGATTAAAAACTGGCTTACTGATAGATCTCAAAGTAATTGTAATGAGGAATCATCCTCCAATAGGGATGTTACCAGTGGGGGTCCAACGGTGATCTGTTCTGGGACTATGTTATTCAAGAGCTTTATCAAAGAGCTGGAAGGAAATGTAAAATTTGCAGGTGAGATGTAAATAATGATACAAGTACTACAGACAGACCTGGCTTGCTTGATAAGGTGGGTTCACACTAACAACATGCTGTCATGGATACACAGGACTAGTGCAATGGCCTGAGCAAAAAATCCCACTTTCTCACACATGCATTTCCACATGGCCGAATGCCAGATCACATGTCTATGAACAAAGAGTGTAGGTCACACTTGCAGGATGGGAGACTATCCTGGAAAGCAGTGACTCTGAAAAGGACTTGAATGTGAGCTCCTAGAGCAAGTCTGGAGCTAACCTAGTGAATGCAGACTTTGAATGTATAAATGAGAATATTTAGCAGGAGAAAGGAGGCGACGTCACCTGTGTTAGCCAGAACACTACTGGATACTATGTCCAGTTCTGGTGTCCACACCAGTGGAATAGCCAGGTGGACGGAAGAGAGGGAGCGGAAAAAAAAGGCGCCACCCGCTGCGGCGCTTTTACTGATGTGGTAGCGCTCCGGGTCTTCGGTGGCACCTCAGCGGCAGGACCTTTACTCGCTCCACAGGTCTTTGGCGGCATTTCGGTGATGAAGCTTCAGTGCTGCCAAAGACACCCAAAGCGAGTGAAAGTCCCACCGCCGAAGTGCCGCCAAAGACCCGAAGCGCCACCCCGTCAGTAAAAGCAACGCAGCGGGTGGCACCTTTTTTTCCCCCCACTCCTGGGTGAGTAAAATTAAAAAGGCTCCCCCCCAGCTACGCTACTGGTCCACACCTTCAAATGATATGTTGACAAATTGGAAAGTGCTCAGAAAATAGCTACAAGAAGGATTAGAGATTGGGAAACCTGCCTCAAGGTCAGAAATGTAGGAGCTCAAGTTCTGTAATTTATTCAACGGAAGGTTAAAAGGTGACTTGATCATGGTTTGTAAGTACCTATATAGTGAGGAGATTTCTGTCAGTCTTTAATCTAGCTGACAAAGGAAGAACAAGATCTGATGGCTTGAAGTTGAAGCTAGACAAATTCAGACTAGAAATAAGGTGCAGATTTTAACAGTGAGGGGAATTAACGATTGGAACAACTGCTCTGGGGACATGGTCGATTCTCCATCATCTGGAATCTTTAAACCCAAACTGGGCATCTCTTTCTAAAACATCCGCTCCAGCTGAAAAAGAAGTTCCTGGCTGGATGCAGGGATCATGGGGGGAGGATCTCTGGCCTGGGCTAAATAGGAGCTCAGATAGATGGTCCTAATGGCCCCTTCTGGCCTTAACTCTTAACCATGAACTCATAACACACTGGTGCCAGCTAGGAAAACAATTATTCGCTGCTGAACTTATGTGGACTGGACCTGGAGACTGAGAACTGGGAGCTGCGTGACAGTGACCATCTGAATAGCCAGCTGGTGCAGGTAGGGCTGGGCAGACTGGGCATGGAGCTGCTGGATGTTGGCTTGTAGCAGCCGGAGAGATTTGGGCAGAGCAGAGTCCTGGTTCTTGGGACTGATGCTGTGCTGGCTTCTCCGGTTTCAATGACTGCCATCTGTGGCTGTGCTTTGAGCATGGAGTCCAGTTCCCTTCCATCCTGGGAATTTCTGAGGATCTCTGAGCCGGGACTCAGCTGTCAAACCAAGTGGCAAGCCCCATTCTCCAGCTCCAGGATGGGACCGTGCTCCTCACACATTGCACTCTCTGTTTGCCAGGTGACATCTTCCCCCGTGTTTCTCCCTGGCCAGCTGCATTCTGGGTATTGTTCACTCTGGTTCTCATTGCTGCTGGAGCTTGTGCATATCGTGAATACACAGGTAATGGGAATGTGTAATTTGCATGTTTAGAGCCTGGTCCTAGAGGGCACTGGACTGGGGCATGGGAGTGTCTTATTGTTCAGATATTGACCTTGTTTTGGTTTTAGGAAATAAACCAAACTAGCAAACACACTAGGGGTCCCTAGCCCCAGCTGTATTAGTGTATTGTTCAGTGTGTCCACGTCTTTCCCTGTCTCACTGCAATGTTTGATTCTCTGTCTCACAGCAAAGCAAAAGGCCTCTCAGAAGAAACGATCTGAAGAGGAGACTCTGTTAAATATGAGTAGGTCTCTTGCTCTGTCTTTTGTTTTGTCTCAGATGAGTGAGCTCTATGACTGGTTGGTATTGTCTGTTGTCTCAATGCAATGAAAGGGATGGCAACAAGAGGTCTCTGCTTAGTGATTCCCCACCTCGCCACATTCTCACACACTCTGAGGGTAGCAGGTTAGCAAATGTATATTTTGCAGTAGAAACCCATTGGTCAGTGTTGTGAAAGTCCCTGCATCCAGGGCCAGTGCAAGGATATTTTGTGCCCTAGGCGAAACTTCCACCTTGCACCCCCCACCCTCCCCCACCCCTCCCCCCGGAGCATCGCTTATTATAAACTTTCAAAAATGAATACTGCATAATGTGGCATTGTTCATTAGAATTAGTACACATTCATCTTGAAAATGTATTAATTTCATTATTTAGCCTACATATTTAATGAAAATAAATTAATAACCTGAGAGGGTGTGGGGCTGGCTGGCTTCGGGCAGGGGAGTGCGGCAGCAGTTGGCTGGAAACAGGGGTGTGTGGGGCTGGCTGGCTTTGGGCAGGACAGGGGATGCGGAGCTGGTTGGAGATGGGGTGTGGGGTTGGCTAGAGATGGGGTGTGGAGCTGGCTTCGGGCAGGGGGGTTTGGCAGGGGCTGGCTGGAGACAGGTGGTGCGGGGCTGGCTGTAGGCAGGGCAGAGGGTGTGGGGCTGGCTGCAGGCAGGGCAGGGGGTGTGGGGCTGGCTGGAGGCAGGGCAGGGGGTGAGGGGCTGGCTGTGGGCAGGGCAGGGGGTGCAGCTGCCATGGCTTGAGCTGGAGCACAAAGAGCAGCTGCCGAAGGAAGAGCTGTTGGACAGAAGCTTCTGTGAGGAATTGGCTGTCTCCCATGGAGAGGTACCACCTGAGGGATCCGCATTTTAAATAGCAGTGGGGATGCCCCTTGCCCTCTCAGCCTCCTGGTCCCTGGCTCTCTCTGCAGCTGGCTCCCTAGGGGCTTTCCCTGCCCTGCCCCTCTTGCTCCAGCCCCTCATTAGGCCTGGGTGCATGTAAAGCATGCAGCATATCTTTGTACTGTGTCAATGACTCCTGAACTGGCCTGTGCTAGATCTAATTGCTGCCCACTATCTCTTTCTTTGCTGGGCAATTAGATGACAATTAACTTGGAAAAGTCCAGAGGGCTCAGAGCAGAGAAGGGATGAGAGATCTTTAGGTTTCAGTTCTGTGCAAAGCAGGTTAACTTTTCTTTTCAGATGCCTATAAACAAACCTAGTGAAGAAAAGGGTTTCTTCCCCACATCCCCCCCCCCCAAAAAAAATCGGTTATGATTTTAATGGACCCAGAAGCAAAATAATTCTGTAATCAAAAAAACAAGTTTCCTGCTTTCCCTTCCACAAAGATCTATTTCCAACCCAGGTAACTTATTTATTATCTGTAGTAACTATGTTCTCATGTTTGAATAATATACTGTAGAGGTGTCGGAGTTCTTTGGACATCCCTCAGTTCTTTTGAGGTGTTGGGAGTGAATACTAGACCCTCGGTTAATTACCTTTAACTTACTTCATGTGCCCATCTTTTGGTCATTAATTTTTGAAGAGTTAAATTAGATTTTCAAATAGGGTGACCAGATGTCCCGATTTTATAGGGACAGTCCCGATTTTTGGGTCTTTTTCTTATATAGGCTCCTATTACCCCCCACCCCAGTCCCGATTTTTCACACTTGCTATCTGGTCACCCTATTTTCAAAACCCAGCTTTAAAATGATGTTCACGCCGACAATTGCGATTTAATTGTCCAAACGGGGAAATCGATGCCTTGAAACATGGGATCTAATTTTAAAACTGTATTAAAAAATGTGTCTTTATAAAGGGGAAATATTTTAAAAGGTTTCACCAGCATCCCCATTACTGTTACCCAGGATTCTGCCTCAAGCAGTAACACAGGAGGGAGAGGGCAATGGACAAATTAGTGTTCAGGGGTACTTCAAACAAAAGGCATTTACTTTTAAATTATCTCGTTGAATAAACTTGTTAGCATTTCTAAGGGGGATGCTGAGCATTCCAAACAGTGATAAGGTTTCTTATCAGCCATACTTCAACGCTCCCCACACCCCCCACTATGCCCTGATTGGGCAGGTAGGCAGGCTCCAGGCTGGCTCCCAGCCTGGCTGTGCAGGCTGCAGGTGAGACCCGGTGATTTGGGGAGGGGTGAATGAGTGTACAGGGGCTGTAGTGTCCTGTTTTGAAACATTAGAAAGTTGGCAACCCTAACTAGCAGCTCTGCTCCTATCAAACTTGCCAGCTCTTGCACTGGGTTTGGGAATGCAGCTCTGGGGATATCCATAACTAACCCCAGTTGTTAGGGAGTGTGCAGAACCACCCAGTGCGTGTCCAGGGGTTCCCAACAGTCTCTTATTACAAGGGACGTCCCTTATTTTCCATCACTGTACAATCAGGAGTTGCTGAGTGCTGCAAATAGCAGCAAGAAATATCCCTGGCAAATGTAGGTCAGTATTGCTTAATAATTAATTAATTAATTAATAATAAATATAATCTCGGAGGACGGATGGGGGGTGCTAAGAAAACAGTCCCTTATTTTTGAAATACAATGTTGGCAACCCTATGTGTGTCTCTTTTCTCTTCCCCATTTCAGAGAGTGACAAGGAGACCTTGGAATCAGGTACTTGGCTAAACCTCTAGTAAATGTGTGTCTGCACTTTCATGCTATAACAAGATAGAAAAAAAACCACACCCGCTGTATGGATTTCAATCACCTTCATGATCATCTCCCCCTGCCCTGGAAATAAACAAACACTGCAGAGTTTGCAGCCCAGATTTCAGTATCATCCTGAACAATGGAGAGTGAATGTAATGGATAGCACGACTCAGACTAGGTCTACACTGCCCAACAGGTCAGTTTATGGGGGTGTGAATAGCAATGCACACCAAAGTGCTGCATTGTAAAAACCTCATGGGGATGCTGTGGGTGTGAAATAAAAGGTTGCTAGTTTGCATTATGTTGTCCTGTTTGAAGAAGGTTACATTAGTGCGAACTAGGTACCGTTTAGTGCACACCAGCCACATCCACCTGGGGCAGTTACAGTGCAGCACTTTGGTGCATGCTGCAAATCACACCTCTGTAAACCAAATTAAGGGGCTGTGTAGACAAGCCCTGAGTCAGGGGCTGGGCGAACTTCCTCCATTCAGTTGTGTGGCTATATCTTAATTCTGAACTGCAAAATTCCTGCTCTCCCATTGCTGGGTTCCCTGCCTGCACACAGCTCTTCCACTACCCCTCAGTCCTCACCCATTGCCTCCCTGCTATCTCAGCCCTCAGCTCCCTACAGCACCCCCAGTGTCTCTGAGCCCTTGTTTACACTACAGGGATAAATTGATCTAAGTTACGCAATTTGAGTTATGCGAAGAGCATAACTCAAGTCGACATAGCTTAGATCTACTTACCATGGGGACCACACTACGTGACGTTGACGGGAGATGCTCTCCCGTCGACTCCCCTTACTCTTCTCATTCTCTTGGAGTACAGGAGTCAATGGGAGAGTGATCGGCGGTCGATGTAGTGTGTCTATTTGACCGCCGATGCATCGATTGCCGTGTGTTGATCCCCCGTTATGTGTAGACAAGCCCTGAATCCCCACCCCAACATTGCTGCTGTCTCAGCCCTGGATTCCTCAGTCCTGACCTCTTCTTCTCCATTCCCTGCTAGTCTAGGCCTGGCCCACAAATGAACAGAGACTCCAAACCCTACTACATTCTGTATGGACTCTGTGAGGTGCACTCTGATGGGCCCCACCACCCACATTGTTCCCATAAGAGCCTGGAGAGGATCCGATCCCACCTCTAGGGGTCCCACCTCTCTAGGGGTGGACAGTAAATCCAGTGCCCACACAGCGCCATGGAGCCTTTCCCCAGCTAAGCTCCTGCCAACCACTGATCCTAGAGTTACACACTTTTGTGAATCAGCACCACAAGGGATTGGGCACAGCCTAGAAATAGGAGTTCTGAGGCCAGGTGACAGGCCGAAGCAGTGCAGGTCTCTCTCTACATGATACATGATACATGTTCTGAAGTGACACTCTCTTCCCTCATTCCCTACAATGACAGCATCTGGGGTGCTGCCCCAGGCAATTTGTGGGTCCTCTTTAGGGGCTGATCTGGATCTTGTCTCCATTAACGACAGTTTTGTCTGCCATGTCCTGTCACTTCTGAGATCCTTGGCTCATCGGGTACGTCTTCCCAGCATGAGTATCCAGACACACGCTAGCTCTGCTTGAGCTAGTGCACTAACAATAGCAGTGTGGCTGGGGTAGCAGAGGAAGCAGCTCTGAGTAGCCACCTGTGTACGTGCCCAGGTGGTTTAAAGGAGTTTGTACTTGAGCAACTAACCTAAGCAACTGCACGTGCTACCCCCAGCTACCCTGCTGCTTTTGGTGCACAAGCTCAAGCAGAACTAACACTGATCTGTGCCAAACTGGGAAGCTCACTCCCAGCTGCAGTGTAGACGTACCCAGAGTTTGGAACAGCCCCATGTCACTGTGCTTAAAACAACCCACGCTGAACCCGTGATGGTCTCCTTTTCTTCTCTCCCCAGAGCACCAGGAGCTGCGTGAGAGGCTTGGTAAGATCATCCACCTTCCGATTAGAGCCCCTGGGCAGAGGCTCCATATTTGTTTCTAAGGCCGGATCCCAGAGCTGAGCTCCAGTCCTCTCCAGGTCCAGCTATCCCCTAGTTATACCTGCAGTGTGTAGCTTTGATGCTCCAAAGGGTTATTAGTAATTCCCTTTAGACAGAAGGGATGAAGACATCAGAGCTGTATTCGGATCCAGACCCACATCTCCCATCCAAGTTAGATGCTTGGCAAATCCCACTTGGGATTTGTATCCTACCAGTGTCCCTTTAAAATCCCCAATTTGCTGGGGACCAGCATGGCCAAACAGCAGCTTCTTACTGGCCTGAATTCCGCTCTAGGTAACACCGGTGTAAACCAGATTAGCTGCAGTGAAGCACATGGAGTTATTGTGGATTTACAGCAGCATCACTGAGAGCAACATTTACTCCAGACCCCAATACTAAGAGACAATATAAAGGCATCCCTGAGAGCAGGTCATTGCCATTAGCAGAGATCTCTGGTCTTTGGGATGAAAGGGTCTGTCTTTCACTTCATGCAGCCAGGGCATTTCTCCTTTGGCAGCAAGGGCCCATGAACCACATGTAAAGCAATCACAGGGTCACAGAGCAACATCTAGAACTGAGCCCTCTATGTAAATGACAGGGAATAAATCCATCTCTTTCCATTTCAGGCAGGGAGGTCGTAGAGCTAGGTAAGAAGATATGTTTTCATGTCACATTTCACATCGCTCATTTCCTTTCTATCTGCCAATGACCCCTATCCCAGAACAGCACCTCCTGCGGGAGCGAGTTCCCCGCATTTGCCGTGCCCCTGACCATGTTTGTTCCTCTTCCTTTGCAGATTTCAGGAGGGCTCGGAGCTACATGGGTGAGTGGGGCTGCAAGGGGCTGAGCAGACACTGCACTGTTGTTAGTGGTATCGGTGTTACGTAGCTGAGCTGTCAGAGGTGTGGGGTCCCCATGGGGCAGGCAGGGCAGGGTGTGCGCTGGCTGCAGAGCCATGGGGCTGGATTCCACAAATGGTCCTGAACATGCTGCCCTGAGTTGTAAGTCTCATTCCTGGGCAGCTCCCTCGCAATTGCCCCCCTCAGCCAGTCCTGACACCCCTGCACACACCTCTAATTGGCCCTTCAGCAATGATCCATCCCTACCCCGTCAGCTCCCCCTACAGCCCCACTCAGCCTTCTCTCCACAGACTGCAGAGTCTTCTGGACACCTTCCATGGCCCCCAGGAGCCCTAACGTCTCCCAGGGACGGATCCTGTGCAGGGTGGGGAGTGAGAAGATACAAAGAGACCAATTCTCCACTATATCTCCCCCCACATACCACCAGCTCAGGGGCCAGGCCCAGCCACAGCCCTGCAGCTCCCACGGCTGGATCCAGGCTAGCGGGGCCTGTCCTGCTAGTCACCCCAACCTGTAACACTCTGTCCTTCGCTCCAGCTGTGCTGGCTGGAATCTCTCTCCTGTGGGATTGTGGGGTCCCCAAGTGATACATGGCTAATGAGATTATTCTGGTTTCTCTCCCCAGTTCCTGTCACCCTGGATCGGAATTGCAAACACTTCAGACTCACCTTGTCCACAGATGGCAGAACAGTCTGGCACAACCCGCCTTCCCAAGAGCCGGCTGCCCCATCTGAGCCCCTGATCGCTGTGGGGATGGAGGGATTTTTGGCCAGGAAGGATCATGATAAGGAGGCAGGGGCTTGCCGGGTGTACTGGGAGGTGGAGGTGGGAGACAGCCCAGACTGGGTGCTGGGGGTGCTGAATAGGACTGTGAGGAAGAAAGTGACACTTCAGAAGCTGGAGAGTTTCCCTGACAGGGGGTGCTGGGTTCTAAGGAGATCTGAGGGGAAGTATCACCCCAGCAAGGCTGACACTGTGATCCAGAACTGGGGTGTGAGGCTGACAGTGGTTGGGGTGTATCTGGATCTAGAAAGGGGGAGTCTCTCATTTTATAGTGTCAGTGCAATGGCCCTTATCCTGGAGATTCCTGTGGAAGGTTCTGAGGAATTGTTCCCGTTCCTCAGCCCTGGTTACACTACGGGGACAGACCAGGGGAAATCCCTCAGCATCTGCCCCCCCAGTGACTGGGATTTCCCCCAGAAATTAGGAGCTAGTGGATCTGTTATTCAGGGAGATCCCACAGCCCCTGCACAGCCCTCTGCCCCCAAGAACGGGGAAGGGGTAGAAAATGACACAGGGCCATCCGCAACTGCAGAAACAGCCCCAGCCCCTGCACATTGCCCTGCCCCTGGAAACAAGCAAGTGAAAGAAAACAGCACTGGGGCATCAGTGAGAGAAAATTTGTGAAAGGTCCTGCCCACCAACCTGCTCCTGAAGCGGAAGCAGGGGGATAAACCAGAGCAGGAGCATCCACAGCTGGAAGCATCCCCCAAAGAGAAGGGGGAAAAGAAACACCAAAAACCCCAGGTCTGAAATCCACACCCCCCCCCCCCCCACAGACACACCAAACCCTCCTGTAGGGCAAAGGGAATCATGCAAAGAAAAACACTCAGAATTTGACTTCAGAGGGGATCTCTGGACCTGACTCTTGTTCCAGGGATACAAGGCCAGGAAATACACCAGGGGAATCAGACCCAAACGCCGTCACCTGAGAAAGAATCTTGCCCCACAGGGAAAATGGGGAAATGGCGACATGTCAGAAATTTCCTCTCTCCCTGAACTTCAAAGAGAACCACAGCAATTCACGATAATGCTTTAAACCAACCCCTTGTGAAATTGGAATGGGCTAACTGGAGAGAACTATGTTAACGCGACTGTTAAATGTAGGAAATTCAATACACACCAGTCGGGGGATGCAGAGGGGAAGGGTCTCACAGTGGCACTGACTCACTCCCATTGTACACACACACACACACTGCTCCTGCCAGCCTCAGACCGTGCAAGTGGGTGACAGGATCAGGCCCTCTGTGTATCAGATTGGGTTGTGATAGAAT